ATTATCAGTTCATTAACATTGTTAAATAAATATCTGAACGTTTTTAAATAATTGTGATAATTATTTGAACGTTTACACAACTATAGCAAAGACTACAATCTTATATTTTGATTATTGTTTTACATATTCATACCGGTATTTGTTATTTGTATTTTTCAAAAAAAATTTTTTTAAATTTATGTTTGTAATTGATATTAGTAACTAAAACATGTTTTACCATTAGTAATTTTCAGTACTGTTTTCAATACCATTTCAGTGTCATTCAAGTACTGTCACCATATGAATTCAATACTTTGAATATGAAAAACATGCCAATTCTGTATCAATTCAGTCCAAAACTGTATCAATTCCATGCTTTTTATACATGTGGATATTATTTAGAATTCCATATTTTTATAGGATGTCCCACATCCTAAATTTTCATAATAAATCAATCTCCGTATTTATTATAAATAGAATTACCAATTACAGATTCCATGTTTTCAGGAAGGTAAAAATTGCACACAGATATTCATAATATGTGTTTAATTTTAGAATATGAATATGTAGGGATGTAAACAAAAAGATCAAAAAAAAAATCCCGGATTTTGAATTGATTTTAATAATAAAGATAATTAAAGATTAAAATCTATTAGTAATAATATAGTTAAAATCCATCATGACTTGTTCCTAATTAAAAATAACAAGCCAAAACATGCATTAGATCAAGTTTGTTATTATAATGATAATATCTTGTTTACATGCATTAGATCAAAAATTTATGTTTAATACACATGGAATTTATAGAAAGCATACTGATGCCAAAAAAAAGTATGGGATAGATCCATGATGCATATAATATCTGATATGAAATACACACGGGATTTACAATGCATACAGGATGCATATTGGATTGGAATTTATGGAAAACATACTATAATACAGAACTCATCTTTCTCATACTAGTATGTAATTTAATATTAACACAACACATTGCATAATTCATATGGAGAAATACAAATTCCAGATGCTTTAAATTCCGTAATTTATATTAATATGTATCCCATATGCATACCATATCTAACCTGTATGCATCCCGTACTTTTTCACTGGAAGATCCATACATTCTTCCATACATTTTCTATCAATAATTTTTTATAGTAATAGGGCAGAAGGTGTGTAAGTAAATGTATAACAATAAAAGGTAATAAGTAGAATTGACATTTACCAAATAATTTCAGCAAATGCCTAAATATTTCGGATTTGCTAACAACTTTAATCTTGATTCTTTACATACATTAGATCAAAAATTTAATAATAATAATGAAAAAATAATGATAAACTTGATTTAATGAATCAAGTTATTGTCATTTAGATCAAAAAAAAAAAAAAATAGATAAAAAGGATGAATTGATTCTTTACACAATTATATCAATTTTATTAAAAATTGATTAATTATTATAATTGAATATTTATTTCTTCATATATCTTCTACATCTTCAATTCAATTAAAAACCTAAATCAATTACCATATAAAAATGTCTACTAAAGAATATACATTCATTTCTTTATCCTTATTCAATGAAGCAGTAGAACAATGAACAAATGACTCCAATAATTGCAAAATTTTAACAAGATCTGATTACAATGATATAAAATCTACATCACAAGGCTCAAAAAATCAAGCAACAGCTACTCAGATATAATATCAGAAGCAAATTTGTCCTCCAAAAAATTGGAGATAATGAAAGTGTATATGTAAAAATTGGACTAAAAAAAATGATGATAATTTAAAGCCATTAATAGTAAAAGAGGAGCTTTACCAGGTATTTTGTAAGACCCACTTACAAAATAACCATGGAGGTCAAAATCAAACTTGGAATAATATTTAAAAAAAGTGGGGTGGAGTTAAACAAGACTTAATTGAATTATTTGTTGAAAGGTGCCTTACTTGCTCTAGCAGAAATAATGTTAGACAATTAATGGTTGCTGGAAAACTGATAATTGCAACATCTTTTTATGTTACGCTTACAAGTAATTAATTTTAATTTAAGGGTAATATTATATACAGAACCTATGTGACAATAAGAATTAATTCTTAGAGTTGGTAAACACTCCGTAATTCCTGCAACCCCAGCCCACAAATTTAATCATCACATCATTGATAAATGTCACGTAGGTTTTACAAAAATTTTGAGCTACAATTTAGTTTCTATTTTTGTAGAATGAATTGCCATTTTTGGTAGGTTCTGTATATTTCATAATTTGTTTTTTTTTTTTGGTTCATTTTATTAAATAAAATTGATAAAATAATTCATAAAAATTAATAGGTGGACCTTATGGAAATGCCTCCTGATGGAGAATATAAATACATTCTTCATGCTCGTGACCATTTTACTAGATATTCATGGGGATATCACTTGAAATCTAAATCTTCAATTGAGGTCACAGCAAATCTATTTGACTTGTTTACAACTTTTGGAGCTCCAGCAATATTACAACCAGATAATGGAAAGGAGTTCAATTCTCAAGTAATAAAAGAGTTGGTGGAGATGTGACCAGGCACAAAAATTATTAATGGCAGACCACGCCATCCAGGGGCTTATAGAACGTGGAAATAAGGATTTAGAAAACAAGCTATCAAAATGGATGAAAGATAACCATCGAGATGATTGGAGTTTTGCACTAAAAATTATAATCCATAGTATGAATACTTCTATTTCAAGACCAACTCACAATACTCCATATTGTTTTGGTTTTTGGTACTGAACCAAGAAGTAATGATACAGTATTGGAATTATTATTCGCTGATGGTTGCATTAATGAAGCATACCAAATAATGTAAACATTGAAGGTAAATTTTTTTGATTACCAATTTTACGCGTTATTTTAATTTTAAAAATAACATATTATTATTTTATAGACCAATGTAATAATGAAGTTAATAATGATAATAACAATAATAATAGCAATGGTGATGTGATGATAAGCAATATTTCGAATTTTTTTTCACACCTTTATTAATAATTTTTATATTAATTAATAATCTAGGAAAATAATCAGTTTGTCATCAATAAGCGGAAAAGAATAAAACAATGTTATTTAATTGGCAATCAACGAACATGATTAAAATTTTTTAAAAAAAAAAAATTTTGTTCACCACAATGTTTTGTATTTCAATTTTGCTCTCATCCTTCCCCAAAAATTTAGTTTTACCAAAAGTTTAGAGACAAGCCTTTGCGATATGTAATTTGCAATATGTAATTTGCAATTTGCAATTTGCAATTTGCAATAATAAAATCGCAATATGAAATTTGCATATTTGCATAGTTATAAAACGGACTGTAGAAGATTTCCTTTTTTGAAAAATTGTAATAACAGTAACGAATAAATTTTTCTTTGTTTCTTTTTTTTGATAAAAATAAATTTAATTTTTATTAGATCAAATTATGCATACATTACTACTATACATGCAGCCCAAACTATTATGATTTTTGACTTGCTGTAATGTCATAATGACATAAATATTTTTAGACGTCCATTTTCAAATTGTCACAAGTCGTAATGTCATAACCAGGTCGTAATAAGTACAGTAATATAGTGGATAGATATATTGCCAAAAATTATCATTTCTTATTATTATAAATTCATCAAAATCAATTGATACACACCCCTACAAAAAGTATCGACTCTGCAAAAAAATAATCAAATAAACAGATAATACAAATACTCGTTTTTTTACCAAGTAAATCGATATTGTGCATTAGTGAGAAAATGGTTTCTGAGATAATTCCCTAACATTTTAAAATATCACAATGGACTGATAATTTTATGATGTTCAAAAGTCAAATTAAAATTTTTCGAAAATTTTTCGAAAAAGTAGCACTTGGAGCTATTTTAAGATACAATGTTTTAACACATCTTGGGAACTTGGAAAATATTGTTCCATTTGTTCTCAAACGTATATATATATAACATATTCATAATTATTGATCGAATATTCGTGGAGAATTAATACAAAAATCATAATGAATTTTTTATGCAAGACATTAAAAAAAAAGAGATTGAACTTTCAATTTGTTATTTCAATTAAAAAAATCATGTCTCAATTAACAGATTTTGGATAATTGGACGTTGGGAAGCAGATGAAATCACTCGTGACATTGCTGGTGTACTCGATCATCCTCAGTCGTACAATAAAAACATTTAAGATCAAACTACCATTGCTCCCCAAAAAAATACAAATGAATTGGTTTCTAATTTAATGGATGATTGGGCAAATCTTGATTGTGATTATTTACAAAAATCAGTAGATAGCATTCCTCGAAGGGCTCAAGCTGTAATTGAATCAAAAGGAAACCTGACAAAATATTGAATAAATGATTGTACTTTTTTTTGATACTTTTGATATAAATTTAATAAAAATTTATTATGTAAAAATATTATACAAACTGTGGATGAAAATTTTTTCGTTATTTTTACGTTTTGTATTAATTTTCCATGAATATTCGATCAATAATTATGAACATGTATATATATATATACATTAGAGAACAAACGGAACAACATTTTCTAAGTTCCCAAGATGTGTTAAAGCATTGTATCTTAAAATAGCTCTAATACTAAGTACTACTTTTTCGAAAAGTTTTCGGAAAATTTTAATTTGACTTTTAAACATCATAAAATTATCAATAACAATCGGTCCATTGTGATATTTTAAAGTATACTGGGAATCATTTCAAAAAATATTTTCTCACTAATGCACAACATCGATTTGCTTAGTAAAAAAAAACGAGTATTGTATTACCCGTTTATTCGTTTATTTTGCAGAGTCGATACTTTTTGTAGGGGTGTGTAATTATGAAATGTTTCTTTGAAAGCTTTAACTTTCTTTTTAAACATAATCATCTCAAATAGATTAAAAGCAGTAGCGATAATATGAAAATTAAATGGTAATAATAACGGGAATATAAGGAATAAACGTCACTCTCATTTATATAAACTCTTTGTTCTCTAAAAATTTCTAATTTTAATAAAATCTAAATGTTTATATAATAAATAAAATTTGTTTACAAGAATTTTCTTTACATAATTACTGGCACATCAGGCAAAGTCGGGATTTCCGGAGTTAGATTATCTGCAGTCGTGTAGCCCATTGATTCAAAAACAGACTTAAGTTTAGGTCCAATTGCTCCCCCAACATAATTGCCACCATCTTTGATTGCATCCTTTACTCCTCTTCCTGGATTTATCAGATAAACCATTATGAACTCGCTCGTTTTTTCATACAAATATAGACTCACGTGAGTACCACTTGATCCTGCTTTGTAAGGTACTATACTGGTTTCCAAATAATACAATGAATCATTAGCAGTTTTATCTGGTACAATTGTTTTAAAATCCAAGCCTTTTGCTAAGAAAGCCAATGATAAAGGTGTTGTGCTATATTTTAACATCTCAGTCGCTTTTGCATACTGAGGAGACGCTTTAAACTTGGCATAAAAATCATCAAGTGAGTCAAATTGTGTGCCTATTGTTGCAAAAGTATTTAATTCGGCTGTGAAACTGGTTAATGCTGTGCCACCTTCTGATACTATCAAAAACCTATCAAATATACTCTCATAAAAACCATTAAATATTATTGCTGGAGGAGTAGGAGCATCAATTAAATTGGGAAATGGTACCAATTCTGTCGCATTTTCGGCGGAAAAATTTGGACGCCAGAATGACAAAAATCCCAGGCCATGCATGAGTTCGTGTGTCGTCAATAGTACAAATGCTGTCTGATTTTGATTAATTGGAGTTACATCGTCTTCAAACCAATATTCTTGATCGGAGTTAAACTCTGCTTCTATGTCAGAAGGTAAAAATTCTGGATGTGTTGCAAGTCTGAATTGCTTTACTAATGATTGTGGGTACAGTCTGACCACTCCATCACCACCCTTCAACCCAATTGATCTGGTTGGCTGTGCAAAACCTAAATAAATAAATGAAAATTAAAATTTTATAAAATCATAATAATAATAATTGTAATTGTAATTATTATTAGTATTGTTACCTAATGAAGTTGGTTCTTGTGATTTAAAAGCGATATCTACGGTGATAGGTTCGCTAAATTTTATAACATCAGAAATAATTTTCCCTGTAATGTCCAAGTTTTTTGTAACTTTGTCACAAAAACCTAGTTTTTCTGGAAAATTACAAGTAATATTGAATTTAATCATTTTATCATCTCCAGCTTGATTTTTGACGAATTTTGGTCCTCCTTTAACAAATAAACAGCCAACATTTTTTATTCCATTTTTGTCATGATCATAACAACTAGTTATAGTTGGTTGTGCTGGTAAGGAGGAAACATTTGTAATATTAGAAAGTGTCAATAATGATAATAGTAATAATAATAATAATAATGGTGCTGGAGAATGATTATTCATTTTAAACAAATCGTTAATTAAAAGATAAGTTAAAATTTCTAAAAAGGATTTGATTGAGTGTATTTATATGCGTTAGATGCACGCATTTTATTTGCATATTAATATCAATGTAATTTAGAAAAACCTTAATTGAAAAATTTTTGTGTCAATTGATGATGGATTTCTATTTTTTGAATTGAGTGTATTGTTTATATTTGGATGTGTCATCGTATACACATGCGAATCAGAATATTTCATTCATTTTATTTGCATAAAAGTTTACAAACTTTTTTTTTCAAATTTTCAAGACTAATAAACCATGGGGTAAGCGTGTTTATTTTCATTAAAAAAGATTTCCAATTGTAAATGTTATTATTATTTTACTAAATTTGAAAAACAAAAATCTATTAATAAAATGAAAAACTGGATGAATATTATAAAAAGTAAAAACTACTATATACGCCACTAAATTTATCTGCATTAGCCTGCTTATTTACGTAACACATTATTTGTTTTGAAATTAGCCAATCAAAATGAGGGGTGTGCACTAGTTGATTAATATATAGCAATAATATAATTTTACTAAAATAAAAAAATTTTTGAATCTGTTATGGGGAATGTAAATATATTCTAAACAAAGTTGTTTACGATAAAGTGGCAAAAATCTTCTGGTCGTCAACACCTTCCTTTGAGACGTCAACCTAAAAATGACTGTGTTACGCAAATATGAATTAAAATATGCATATTAATATATAAAAATAACTTGTATGCATTGATGCTGATATATTTGTTATCTTTTTTAATTGCTCACAAAAATGGGAGCACTTTCTGTGCAACACATCTTTAGTATCAATACTATCATTCATTAATCCATTCTGCTCTAATTTTTAGTGCAATTGGTTTTTTCTTCCTTTTCATCCAAGTGATGTTGCTGCTCCATTACCCATACCAATACATAATTTTCTTCTATTATTAAAAGTTTTTTTTTTATGCTAAATGTTAATTAGTACTAAATTTCTAAAAAAAGTCTGAATCTAATTTAACCAAAAAGAAAAAAGATGTAATACAAAAAATGTGATTAGCAAGCATTGTTTATATTACCCCCTTTCCCCCCACAAAACCAGTTTCTATTTTTCATCATCTATCAAATTTTTCGTCACAAAAAAAAAACTAAAATGTATATATGAATGTATGTTGCGAGATTGTGTCCAAGTTTCAACCATGATTTAATGTTTATAATAAAATAATACAATTTCTTCCAATTTATTTTATACTAAATTGCAACAACAATTTCCACGAATACAAACTATCTTTCACTATCGTTAAACAATTCCTTGCTAAGCAATACTAAACAAT